TATTATTATTATTATTATTATTATTATTATTATTATTATTATTATTATTATTATTATTATTATTGTTGTTATTATTATTATTATTATTATTATTATTATTATTATTATTATTATTATTATTATTATTATTATTATGCTAATTTATTAAACTAAGTACTTTTTTTAATTATTATTTTTAGTTCTACTTATTTTTACCATAAGTGTACACATTGTTGATGGAAGTAATTGATATTTCCTTTCATTTCAGTTTACTTTTTTCTTTTTTCAGGCAAGAAGGCATCTGGCACAGTAAGATTTCGCAGCATGTGTTTAGGGCAGGAAGATGATAGCAACTAGCGGAGGCTGTACTAGCTGTCAACGTAATTGGTGTACAATTAATGTAAATAGCAGAGAAAATGTTTTAGGCACTGCAAGAAGACTGAGCATGATGCGCGGATGACATATGAGGAAGGAAGACCACATTCCGATTTCACGACAATTATTTTCGTCGTGTTGCGTCCTATCTGGGTCTTACGAACGCACACATGTCGACCAGACTGCAAGACGACCTGGCTACATTAGAGCTCCCAGACATGCACGCACACACACACACACACTCTATCTCTCTCCACACTCTCCACAATTGTCGATGGTATGTCATTCCATGGACTTGATGACAGCCGGACAAGAGAAGTCGTGTTGGTCGCCGGACAAGACGAGCACACAGTTGTCAGGCTGTGGATCGGACAGTTTCCGCGCCTGTTCCTCCTCTCATCTCGAGTTGATTGATGGGCCCACTTGACCCGGACGTCTGAAGACACGATCACGAAGACGGTCTAGTTTGTCATGGTTCCCGATACATTTCCTAATAGCCTTGATGACTGTATTTCCCCTTTCCTCTCCAGTCGCAGGGGCGCAACACAAGTTCTACAGTACAGCCCAAACTGGCCATCCCTTCTTCCAGCCCACAACCCATTAACTCCGGCACACACGAAATGGTTCGTTATTTTTCCTGTACCGTTACTTGGTCCTCTTCTGGGTATCAATTTATCTGGTTCATACTCTGGATATGTATTCTGCCAACAATCTACCGGCTCAACCTCCATGTCAATCGCTATGGCAACCATACATTCATTCTGGAATTCCCATGCATCACATGTTAGCCGTCACCCATCAACACTCAGGCGTTGGTTAAACTGGCATCCTTCATCACTAACGTGTAATAATTTATTATTTTCTTATTCTACTGTATTCGCATTAATCATTAATCGTTAATCCAAAACTTTGAGCCATTTGATGCTTCATTTGTGCATCACTCGCATCATCTCGACCTTCCTGACGGCACAAGATGGAGTCTGAGAGCGCCCTAGAAATAATACAATATTTCAGAATTTATTCACCAAAAAACCTCTCCATTGTCTTGACGGTCACTGAGGCAGAAACTCGAATGAGTAGATTTGGCTGCCTTTTCTGTCATATATCTGTCGTGGTGTTGTCCAAAAGTACCCGATACTCCAAAAGAGACGGTACTTTTCGCCAGTACAATCCCAACAAGTTTCTGTCCGGCAGGAAAGCTGCTATCCTTTCGAGCAAAGGACCCTCTTTTGGATAGAAATATCGTGACAGGACACAGCAACAACTAAAGGAATAAGTAATAAAAGTCTGTGTGCTTTCAAATGTTTTCAAGCTGAACTGGTAGCAGTTCTGCCCGAGACAAGCTTGCATTGAATATCCCGTCGCCCTGCCTCGCAACAGGTTGAATCTTGTCCAAGCCGGAGTGTGGTTCTGAGGCTTTAAATCACACGTTCCTAGTCTCATGATGCTAGCCGATTAGCAGGCCTTTCTCAATTCACATTCTTTTGTGAGTAAACTCTGCCCAAGAAGTGGCTATTTTTGTTAGGATTTCTGAGATTGTAATCACTTTGTTGATGTCTTTCTGGCTATTCATCTCTTTCCCGTTTACCAAAGTACCTCCGCAAATAACTGGAACATCTGAACTGCTTTTGGCGTCAAATTAAAAAAAATACTAGCCTACTAATTGTCCATTTATCTACCTCGATTTTATTAATAAATTCTTTCTTATTTTTATCGTTTGCAAGTTGCTGGTGATTTATTTCATCCTTTTCTCAACTGTGAGCGCCTCTATCTTTCTACCTATTTGGGTTTTCTTCTTATAAGTAGAGTTTATGGATTGCAATTAAATCAGTTATATGAAAAATATTCACCCTTATTAGTTTAAGGTGATTAATACATCTCATATAAATGATTTATCGGCAGTCTCGAAACTCTACTCATACGAAAAATAAATAATGTATTCGATTGTTATAGCAAAAATTATTTTGCTTCATCGACAATCCCACCAAAGAATGTGAACTTCATAAAATTCACATTTGCTCTGTGCTCCAAAGAGACTCGTGGCAATGTGGCCGAGTGGTTAACGTGTCAAGCTCACATTCTGCACTGTCACAGTTCGAATCCCGCTGGGGGTGTTGATAAGACCGATGCGAGATTGAAACTGCAGTCCACCCTTAATGAGAACACCTTTCGGTAAGGCAGGCAAGGTAAAATTCAATGGGAACTTCAGCTCTACTTATATGATGGTAGGAAACTTTTACTAGCAGTCGTTCATCACTTCAAACGAAATAGGGTGAATACATCTCCTATTTGGCTTTTCACCCATCCGTCCATTAACTAAGCATGACTACGAAAGTATAATTTGTATCTACATGTTTTTGTGTTTGCATGTAAGTAGAACAGGTAGTCTCTTTTACTGTCTATTAACTTGAAACTCTTTACAGGAATCAGCCATCGTCTCCCAGTGAGATCGACCTACGGATTCCCCCATCATGCAATTTGATGCGAGATCAAAGTCTCCCAAACAACTCCAAGTGCTAATGAGTCACATAGTAAATAATTTATTTTTCTTTAAGGCTATATGTTTCTCAGTATCATGTCGAGCTTACTAGCAAGCATAATGTTGTCCTACATATGCCATGGGTCCCAGAAAGTCTGTTATGCCATAAAAGTTTTACTTAGCGCATAACACACAAGGATCAAGGTTGTACGACATAGGAGGCCATTTGCTTGCCTCATGACTCGAATTTATACGGAACCAATTACAATAGAGTGCAAAGAACAGAATGACTTCATGCCTGGATGGAAAATTTGCAATGTGATGCATCATGAAGAGAAACTCCTTGCAAAAGTAGACAATATGAAAAATTACTTGAAATTGGCTACTATATTCGAAATTAAGTAGTGTAGTTGGATAAAATGGCAAGCATAAGTTTGCCCTGTGAATTGATGGCATCCGCCGCCAAGATACTGCTGATGAGACCTAAGCAAGTTTATAAGGGCAGTCCAGATGAGAGTACTCCATGATAAGGAATTGTTTCACATTAGGATATTGTGACTCCTAAATTGTTTGTCATATATAAGGATGCATATATTATGATTTGGCTGCATGGTAGGAACAGTTTAGACAGTTTGTTATCTTTCCGTAACCATTGTGAGAGAAATATTAAGTTAAAAATAGAATTAAAAGAAAATATGATATTGCCTTTTTGGATGTTATGCCTATTATGGAAGATAGTAAGTTAGGTAAAGTTGTTTATGGGAAACCGGCATATGCTAGTTTGGTCTTCAATTTTTTTCAATAATCATAGTTACAAATCTAAGGCTGAAATTCTAAACTTCATGATAATGAGGAGTATGAAAATAATTAAACTGAAGAGTCATGAAGATTGCGACGTTTATTCCTGGAAAATAAATTATCCTTTAGGCCTAAATTGATAAAAGTATCGTATAGCGAGAAATATTTTTTCAGACAAATTACATTTGTTGAACTTACTGCCATTTCGAGTAAAAGTGTGTGATGAAGACGACGGCGGATTCCTATTGACCAGCCGTTGTTTACGTTGCTTCCAAGGTAGTCACCTTCGATTCCGGGGAAAACGTGACAAACTTTTGTCTGTCGTATGATTAGCAACATTAGAGAATGTTATCATCCTTACAACCAGCGAATCAAGAAAACTTCCGGTAGGATCGACCTTCGAATCTCTTCACCAAAAACTTTTACTCTAAATGGAAGAGATTCCTCGAAACCCAACTTTTGGTCGCGGAGACTATTTGGTCAGAGATAGGCAAAAGGAGACCCTTCTCATGTCCTAATCTTGTTGTCAGGTCCTTTTGCAAAGAAGACAGGAGAAGTAGTGAGGAACTGGGGGATAAAAGTGGTTTTCAAAGTAATTCTGACCCTTTATTCGGTTATGCCTTCCTTTATAGAGAAACATGACGTATTATCAAGATTCGGCTGCTACGAGGTTGTTTTCTCCTTTGCTTGGCTCTATGTTGGCGAGATCTATTGGCTTATTTGCCAAAAATTAGCGGAACATCAAAATGCTTGTAAAGGTAACTAAGTCGAACGGTCAGGAGAGGGTCAACACTGGACATGAGACAGAATGGTCCCGAAAGCAGAGGTTTGCTGTTAAAAATAAATTAAGAGAGGCTATTGAAATTAATAGATTATGGAATACGATGAATGTGAGGAATGGTGGTAGAAAGCTGAGTAAGAATGACTTATGTTTGAGTGAAGGAAAGAAGGAGAAAGAAAGCGAGCGATGGCTTTAGCTAAATTGGCACTCATCAACCAGAAAAGACGTAGGAGATGACGTATTTTCAGTCATGTTCTTCCTTGGATCATTCAGCCCTGTACAGACTTACATCCCATAAACTTAGCCAGATTTACTTGCGGACTAACGCAATCTAAATCACGCTTTCCCTGCGTCATTAAGTTTTGGTGATCCGCGTCTAGACGGTAACTTTTTTTTATCACTCAGAGATTGCGGCTAGCATTGCCTACAGACATGCACTGACAGACAGACGCAGCTGACTATACTGAAATTAACCATACCATGCTCTATCGGTCTATAGTTACATGTTTTGTGTTATGAGTACATACAGCATGTAGGACAGAACTGGTCAGTCTTCTTGACCTAATTTTAATTGACCACTTTTGTGAAAATGAGTCCCAGTTCTGATGACGTCCAGCATACGATGGACGAAATCGCAGACCGTCTTCACCCGAACGTGGTGTTAAGGTCAAACGACTGCAGTACAACGCGAACCAACCGTCATCGTCCAAACATATTGATGTTCGAATCTCGTCTTCGTGCACCTTTATATGAAATGAAAGTCTTACCAACATTGGATTAAATAGGTTTGTAATGAGAGATTTTAGCATCGTATGACTTACTCACCCCAACTGACCTGGGCTGACTGACTTCTTACTAAAGATTTGCTGGCCGTCTTGAGATGTATCCATGTCAAAATTCAGTTAGAATTAGCACAGACTTAAGAACTCTTGTAAATCGAAGACTAAATTAAAATGCTTATTTTCTTTTAATTATCATGCTACTGCTAAACTGTGCAAGTAGTCTAATAGCTCATCATTAGCAAATTCGGCAAAAAGTTACTTTTTCACTGCAGTGCCTGCTTTTCGGCCCGGTTTCATCATTCCCTCACATAAGATTTTGCATTTGTCGAGTTTAATTGAATCCAATGAAGCGAGTGCTTTTGTTGAAAGTTGGCCAACCAGCCCTCAAAACCTGATCAGTCCGTCTATTCATCCTTTAAGAGCGAGTTATTCTTTTGGTCGACGACGTCTCAATCAACCAAGTGTAAGGCCCTATTATGGCACCATTTTGGTACCGGCTTCCAGGTCGGCCTTTGTGCACAGGGCCAGAGTCAGGCAGAGACGCTTGAGATGGGCGGCTACGGCTCGTACACCATCTCGCCCCTCACCCTTGCTCTACTTGTCAATCGGGAGCGTTCAAGCGAAAAGCCGTTCGGTGACCCGTTGTGCTGGTCTGGCAGCACCTCGAGACCAGTCACTGGGGTACGAGCAGAGGACAAAAGGTTGAGCTGACAAAACTGGCTTCAGGTTCGATTTGTGGTCGAAGGGTGGACGACCCTCTTGGGACCGACTCGAAGCTCACTCGTCGCCAGTCAACACGACCGGTCATGTCCAGTTGTGATTGGTCTCGGCCCGTTCCGTTTCGACGAAAACGAATCCTGTTGAGGAGCCGAACTCTTGGAGAGTGCGGGTTACGGTAGTCGAACTTGGCGTCTGAGACCCTAAGGGCCCAGGAAAAACGATGAGTTGATGGTGAAGCTGAGAAAAGCGGGATTTTTCGGCTACTTCAATTTCCAGTGAAAGAGTGAGCGATGAAAAAAACCTGATTCGCATCAACCATAAGACGAGCATATAAGTACATATGAACACACACACAAATATATGCACGCATTTCTTCTAGAGTCACATATAACTTGAACTAACCAAAAAACTTCATACTTCATCTAAACACATGTGTAGACCATATATATATATATGTTTGTGTGTGTGTGTATATGCTGTAGACCATACATCATTTAAGGATGAGTTGTTTAGTTTTCTAGACTCATTTGATTGGATATGCATGCGAAAATGGTGTTCATCGAGTGAGGAAGATTGCCCCGGTTACAGTGTCAACACGAATGCTCCAGTAATATGAGATGTATTCACACAATTTCGTTTAAGGGGATAAGGACTGGTAGAAGGAGAATTTTCCCACAGTGATATGAGTTGAGCTGACGTTTCCATTGAATATCACATAAACTTGCTTTCACAAAAGTTGTTCTCATCCAGGGTGGGAAAGCAAGGCTATATGAAATTCAGTGGAAACGTCAGCCAAATTCATATCAGTGTGGGAAAAATCTCCTTCTACCAGTCCTTCATCACCTTAAACGAAATTTTGTGAATACATCTCATATTACGGATTTACCGGTAGTCTCGGGACAATACTTAATGCTCCTGTAAGGCCAAATGACTCCTGGCCAAACGGAATCTACCATCGTCTTCTGGTAGGATGGACCTTGTAGTCACTTTATCACACCTCTACACATACATACATATATATAAGTTCATACTAACGCACTGTTACTTAAAAAGGAAAGCATCTAAACAATCATAGACGGAGGAATGCCTTAAAAGGCAACTTTTCTACTCTCATATTTTTGAAGTTTACTCACAGGCATGTTGATGAGTAGTATTATCACAGTGTGTCGATTAGTGCAGCAAGAAAAATGAGTGAAGAGCAGGCAAAATGGCGCTAAAAATAAGACAACTTCTGGCAAATCCTGGCGCCGTCTGCCAGACACATCGAACTCTATTGGCTAAGCAAAGTCTTCTCTGCATTGCTCGTGATCAACACCGTTTCGCGAAAGCATTCGGTACCAAATCCTCTTTACGACTACCTTTTCTAGCAAGTATGGCGTCGAGTACATGCGTCTGGCATAGCATTTAAGGTCAGACTTAGTGAACCAGCCTGATCAAAAGGCCGAAATATAATATGCCTAACTCGTAATAGATGCTAAGAATACATTATGATGGGCACATATATCATTACTATTCATGCATTCTACCACGCACCCACAGAGACGGATAGCAACGGATTTACTGTACCAAAAGCGCTCGCCAATACAATATTTGGTTTTAGCGCCGACTTGCGTCGGCCACCAGATTGGGCGGTTTTTCCCTCTCAAAATCGTACCCACCCCAACAGGCCTCGAAC